AAATTATTCAAATAGACAAAAAACACAACATTGGATTAAAATTATTATGTTCGGCTGAAAAAAATGTTTACAAACCAAGGAACCACTTTATAGGTACATTACATTTATAGGTATTACAAGTTCAATCAAAACAATTCTACCAATCCTTCGATTTTCAATTCTTTGATTTTTCCAAGAAATAACAAAAAACAACACTCACTAAACGGCATAATTTTCAACACGTTCATGATGCTGTCAAAACGACTTTCCGATACACTAGCATTGTGAGCGTATATAAGGCCAAACACATAGATTACGATGAAACTTAGCAGAATGCCAACGGCACCAATAATTATACCGCCAGTTTTCAAACTAAAACAACAGCAACTCTTCACGGTTAGCGTCATTTTTACTGGCGAATCGGATTTTAATTGGAAAAATTGGATTTTTTTCTGTATTTTGAGATTATTTGGGTAGAAGGTGGTTCCAGGTGAGACCTTGAAATGTCCAAAATATCATTCGAATGAAAAATTTTAACACTGAAAGATTAAAGAAAAAAGTCAAATAGGTTTCACTTGAGATTAGGTTAATTATTCATTTCAATTTCAACATTCTGATCATTGTTTGTTAAAATAAAACATTCGTCGTTAATTTTAATAATTTGGCGTGGGTTTGAGTTCAGTCACTTAGTGTTATTCCATTGTTCTTGCTATCCAGTTAGCAACAGGCGAATTTAACACTCGAAACGATTTCTTCTTTCTTTTTCACTAAAACAACAGAAATCAAATATTCAACTGATTCAAAAAAAAAAACTAGCTACTACAGTACCTAACACCAAAACCGCACCGAACTTTATTACAATTATCTGTTGAATGTCTGATTGAACTGAAGCCGAAAGGAATTCTGATAGCCACTGAACTCCCATCGGAATTTTAGTCATGTATTCATGATGAAAAACATTTGTTGAATTTAATAAAAACAACAAAACAAAAAAACAAAAATCGTTTAAATCCCAGAAAGCAAAGTCGTAATAACCACAGATCCAAATTCTAAAAATAGCTTGAGTTATGGCTTGCGGTTTGATTACTACTGCTTCGTATTTACCTAGGGGCATTTAAGTCGAAAACGATGCGTTGTATGCGACGTTTATGCGGTTTAAAATATTATATTTGTCAATCGCACTGCTATATGTAAACAATTCGCAGTATGCGCATTTTATT